CTAATGGAAATAATAGTTTCTAAGGTAGTATTAGTATAAGCTTAATGCTATCTGTTCAGTTACGGGAACATTTTTAAAAAATATTGCTGGAAAGATATAAAAAACTCATTTATTTGTTTATTACGTGCACCAATTTTTAAAATTTTTAATTATTATAACTGTATAAATGTTTGTTTTAAGTAATACTAAGGTATTGTTTGCATGTTCAGTCAAGCGCTATAAAAAATTTCGATCGTATGAAACAAAATCTTCTTTGTAGATCGTAATTAGAAGGTTATAAACTATATTTAGAATTAACCGTAAATTGAGCTAAAAACTAAGCTTGAATTGTTTAAGAGAAATTTAAATTTATCACTTAGTTAGGAAACATACATAAAAAATTAAAATAATACCATATATGCTACAATTCGCGATCGCAACGCTCGAGTACGCCGTCTAGCGGGAGCCTGTAAATATCAGACATTAATTTATCACGTTTTCATTTAGTTCCATCCAAGTCATTGACTGAATCAGACGCCATTTTTTAGCAGCAAATAAGAAACAAAATTTCCCTAAGGAAAAGGCCGAAGAACTTGAAAAAAATCTCCAGAATATTAGTAAATCTTTCAGGAACAGAACACGCCAAACATTTGAAGAAAAATTCCTCAATAATTTTTAATTTCTATTATCAACAAACTTGCAACTGATGACTTCCGATTTCGGATACTGTTACAGATGTGTGTATTAAGGTAAAATGCATTTCTTCTGTCTTCAATTCATTACGAATTAAAGTGAAGTCAACATTGCTTTCGTCATTCCAGTGAATAAATATGAATTCAGAACATACAGAATTGTAATAGTTATAGCATATTCTTCTTCGTTATAGAATAGTATATATTTCTGTATCCATATAATTCGGAAAACAACAATAAAAAATTATCCAAGTTACTTGAAATAGTGCCATTTGTGCTGATTCTTAATTAATTTAAATCGTTTTCTTGGTAAGTTTTTTTTAATTTTGAAAGAATAAGTTCAACTAGAATTCAGCTATTCTGTTTTTAGCTACATATTCAAATTCATATCAATTATAAAATTTTGCTGTGTAGTATGTTATCTAAAAGTAATGAAGGTATAAACTATGTATCTATTATTTGAGAATAAAGTTTTCAAACAAGGAACTTATCATTTTGGAATTCTCCGGGAATCATAAATCAGGTAAGTGCAATGATTTTTACAATAAAAAATTTGCTTGTAAATATTTTTTTTTCATTTGATGATGGTTCTCTACAGAATGGTTTTTTACGTCTGATTAAGAACTATAAGAATAATAAAAAAAGAAACAATATGAAAGTTTTTATTTCAATGTAAAGAATTCTTAAAATCTTTTTTTTATCCTAAGAATTCTTTATTTTCCGTTTTTTAGTTTATAATTTTTTGATAAAAATTGTTCTCAAAATACTTTTTTTGAAAAATTAAATGGTATAACATTATGTGTTTATGTATACTTCTTGTATATTCCAATGTTTGAAGTAATATGATTCAGAAAAGTATGGAATAAAAATTCGGTACTTACGTATTAACGCCACCGCCGCTACAGATTTGGCGGTTTTTAAGTGCCGCCAATCTACACTTAAAATTTTTGCGACAATTCATAAAATAAAACACTTTATTTAAAATCAAAATAGTTAATCGGATTTCGGTGGAAAATGAGCCGATATAGAGTTTAGCATAGATTCAAAACAATCATATCGCCATATGAACTCTGATGAATAAGATTCCAAATGAAATAACATTTCCAAAACGTACGTTTACCAAGATAAAGTTTTATGTTGTGGGAATTGGTACATTTTCGTTTTTTCGGTAAAATATTTCCCTCCTGAAAAAATAAAATTGCATCTTGTTTTGTTTTTGGCAAATCCCAAAGACGAATATTCGTAGCACTAAAAATGGCGACAAAAAAGAATTGTCTTTTTTTTTTGTTTTTGTTTCGTCAGCATTCTTTATTTTACGTTTCTTAGTTTCTAAATAATGATTTTTATTGAAACTTGAAATTTTTTGATAAAAATTGTTGTCAAAAAACTTTGTTTACAAAATTAAATTTCATAAAATTATGAGGCTTATGTATACTTTTTGTTCATTTTAATTTTTGAACTAATATGATTCTTAAAACTATAGAATGTAAAGTTTAAATGGGCCTTTCATGTTATATCATTAAATTTAGTAATACTATTTCTCGGGCATTAGGTTTTAACTCTTATAAGAATATACATATTTTTTTCTGTTAATGTACAAATATTTTTCCGATGTGTTTTGGATATTCCTTCTCTAATAAAAAGAGATACCATTTTGTTTTCGGTTGTACAAGAAAGAAGATCAAGCATTTTTCTTTTTTAAATTTAATAAGCCACATTAAAGAAGGAACGTTGCAATGCTACACGCTACATTAACGACGTCGCCAGAGTAACTGAATGACGGTTCATATGGAAATCGCAGGTAAGCGTCTCATACAACAACGCCCCCTATAGTTCGTTGCAATCGCGAATACAGAATACTCATGAGTCATTCCATGGTCACGTGCGGCACATTTTTTATTGCATTTTCTCCGTTAAATGCGTTTTTATTAGTTACTGCAAAAAAAAAAAAAAAAAGGGTTTCTCAAAAAGAAATGCGTTAAAATAGCTCTGAAGTAAATATAGTATCAAATATACCTTGGAACATAATATGTTAATGAAATACAAAAATTCTAAGTAAGAAGCTAAGAAAAAAAAAGACAAACGATTTAAAAGAAAACTGCATTTTTGGAATCATTTGCAAAAAAATGGTATTTTTTCTCAGTTTTATTTATCATTAAACATACATTATTATTAAACAAACATTCATTATTAAACATACATTTTTATTAAACATATAATATTAATCTTAAAACATTTTCAACAGTTTAGCTTTTGGAAGACATATAAAGAATGGTTTTTATCTAATAAATCAATGAAGCACCTGGCAACTTACTTTACGTTACCAAGACAACGATAATAAACAAAAGACAAGAGCGAATTCGGATCATCACGGTGATACATTAAGAAATATTTAGATTATTTTCAAAGTTTAACGTATTTTTAGATACACAATAGAAATTCTTTTTAAAAAGTAACTATTTTAAAATGGAAGAATGCTGTAAAGTGCCTGCTGCAGGAATGTTCTTGAATCCTTTGGATGAAAACCAAAAACGGCAACTTTTTAAAGGTTTTGGACCACAAAGACGATGGACAGAAAATCCGTGGGGTAAAATAGAATCAGAAATTCCTAGAGAGATGTATGGCTCACCCAGATATGATTTTTATGCAAAAAGATTTTCTCACGCCTTGAATCTTACGAGGGAGTTTGATTATGGTCGATCAGAGGATACAAGCTTAAAATTAGAAGGATACGGTCCCAAGACTGTGTAAAATGTTTAACTGACTAAATTATCATAAACTTTTTGTTTCTTGCTTTGAAATGATTGAAATAAAATGTTAATAAAAGATTATTTAGGATACTTATTATTTGTTTGTTTTTCTTGGACTTCTAACTTATATATCTTAAAAAAAATTAAATTTATAATTAGTTAACGAGACAACTTGTAAAAGAAATTAACAAAGAGTTTTTTTTATTTCAAGTATTAAATCTTTTTTGTTGTTATTAATTATAAACTATTTTTTTAAGAAATTCAAAGATGGTTTTATTTATTTTTCCTTGGTAATGGCGATGTTAGTGTTTACAATGTAGAAGTTTGAAATTTTTGAAATTAAAAAAAAGTAGGAAAACAATCACATTGATTTTTTTAAAAATGAATATCCCTTTACGAAATAAAGAAAACATTACATATTTTATTTTTCGAATCATGGTTTTATCCTGAAATGCATTTATGTAACAAAATTCGCATTACTGATTGATATAAATTATTCTGCATTTACTTAAAACTCAATAGTCTTTTATTCAAGATGATATGGAGTATAGAAATAAAGGCAGAAAAAAATCAGATCCATAACAGGATTCTGCTAGACAGGGTGTTCTAGAATGATCACTCTTAATGTGTATTTTTTGACCCCTGTTAAAAATATGTCAAAAAAGTATATTTTATGGAAGTTGAAAAGTAATATTTACACAGTAAAAAGGGTTTCTCAAAATAGAGCAAAAATTAATCAAAATGGCTCCGAAACAAATATAGTTATAGAAACATGCTCAAAACAGCACGTATTCATTTTTGAGACTGTGGATTTTGTTCAAAAATGATTATATGCTGTTTCAATTGTGAGAATGTCACTATACTGAGGAATATGGCACATTTTCGATTAAGTTTGAAAAACCCTTTTTTACAGTGCAAGCGATAAAAAAAGAAAAATACTAATGGAATCTAACAAACTGCTATTGAGATAGAGGGGATTGAAAATATCAGAACCTGTTTTATTACCGGTGAAAATAAGAGTTCAAAGGTGATTATTAGAAACAACTTTAAGTTTCACCACGCAACCAAACTGCGTTTGATGTTTCTTAACCCCGTCCTCCTCAGTAATTTAACACTTTTCGATAGCCTTTTTGTTTCTTCTACGTTTGAATATCAATTTGCTAACTATAATTCATATACTCTGGAGATTTTCATTTTAACAAAGATTCTAAAACCATACGAGAAACACCCTGAATATGCAGAGCATTTTAAACTACCTAAATTTAATTTTAATATTTTCATTAATTCTTTTTTTCAAATTTTTCAAGCTTTACTTTAACATATTTCATACAAGAGCAATTTATGTAAAATTTTAATTTTTAATGTTAACACCTTTAATTAATTAATTATCATTAGCACTGGTTTTTGTATGAAGCTATCATTAGAACATAGAAACGCTAATTAAATAGCAGCGCCTTATTATTTGCTAATACATACTATATATGTTTCATAATGGGCATGATTAAACGCTTGAAGTCACTTTTATCAACAATAGAGTAAAATTAGAACTTCAAGACAAAACTTTATAATGTTATCTCATAAAGTACACAGGTGCGTCAGAATTGATAAATGCACTCCTAACTTGTCTTGTCGGCTCAGTTAAGATCTGAATGAATGTATTTTTTTAAAAAAATAAATAACAATTGCTAGGTAAAAGCTAAAAGTTTCAAGTAAGTTTTTTTATGTGTTATTGTTTGCTTAATTTTATATGTTATAATTGCTATTTATAGTTTTCTTAAGCTATACGGGGCAATGATTGAGCTACATGATATGAAAAATAAAATTTATAAAAAAAGTATGAGCTCAAAATATTTTATGCAAATGTTAAAAGTAACAACAGGTGTTTGAATTTAGCTTATGACATGATTAAATGTGCTTGCCACCACATTGGCTTTGATAAGGAGCAGCTGATAAGAAAAATACTGCTTAACTTTGTGGTGTAAGAACATCGATGCTTTTAATGATTTCTTAAATGGTACGTGGGAGGTTTAAGGGGAATTATAAATCGACTATGCCAACCTTCATCTATCAAAAGGTACCTTTTTATAAAATCAAGTTAGCATGTCTTATATACTAGTGAATTGGTATTTAATATTTATAGTGGTAGTTACTCCACTCTACTCCCCTTCCAGAATTTTATAATTCGGTAAACGAATACCACTAGTTGATTCATGCTGTTAATATATTTAGATCAATTTTGCTCATTTTACTTTTTCTTCATTTTTTTGTTTATAGCATTTCGCTTTTTATTATTTTTTCCTTTATTTTTGTTTATTGACCGGGAGACTTTATTTCCTTCACCGGATTTTTCTTCTTCTTTTGAGCAGTATATTTTTAGGCAAATCAACTGTTTCAATGTGTACCATCCATCAATGTGGCTAGTTCATATCACGTCCAGGTCACCATGTACTTTTTGATAGATGAAGGCTGGCATAGTCGATTTATAGTTCCCCTTAATTGGTGACCCGGAAGTGATATGAACTTGTCAACATTATTGGATAGTCCGCATTAAACAGTTGATTTGCTTAAAAATATACCGCTCAAAAAAAGGGAGGGGAGAAATGTGGCGTAACTACCACTATAAATATTAAATACCAATTCACTAGTAAATAAGACACGTAACATGGAGGTACCTTTTGATAGATGAAGGTTGACATAGTCGATAACAATTAAATCCCCACATTGGTGACATGATAGATGGTCCACATTAAACAGTTGATTTGCATAATATATACTGCTCAGAGAAAAAAAAATCCGGGGAAGTGAATAAAGTCTCCCAGTAATAAACAATATTGAGAAAAAAAATGAGCGAAATGCTATAAACAAAAATGAAGAAAAAAATGAGCGAAATGCTATAAACAAAAATGAAGAAAAAATTAGCGAAATGCTATAAAAACAGAAGAAAAATGAGCAAAAATGATATAAATAAATAAAACTGCATTAATGAACTAGTGGTATTCGTTCATCGAATTCTATCACAGATAAAATTCTGGAAGGGGAGTAATGTGGCGTAACCACCCATATATATATATTAAATACCAATTCACTAGTATATAAAACATGTTAACTTGATACAATCAAGAGGTACCTTTAGATAGATGAAGGTTGACACAGTCGATAATAATTAAATCCCCGGCATCAAGTTAACATGTCTTATATACTAGTGAATTGGTATTTGATATTTAAAGTGGAAATTACGCCACAGGTTTTCGTTTTTTTCCCCTATCCATGCAACTCAAATGCGATAAGTTCCATGAAAAAGTCCTTCACAAAGGCGAATTTCTCCCAATACTTGATTCAGGAGTGTTTTTTTGTCGTCTGGATTAGGTTCAAAATTACAAAGTTATGAAGCTGAACATTGGTAGTCGTAAACGTTTGGTCGGCTGTTCAACGACTGTGATAAAAGAAAAAAAAAGGATGATTTGGGAGTTATTAGCTTACACTTTGTCGTGAATATTATCACACAAAAATAAGTCACTCAAAATGAGTCAGGAGAAAAGGGTGGTCAAGCGTTTTCCAATCCAGCGGCCTCTGAATACACCATCGCCAGAATGTGCTCATAAACATTTAGTATTATCACAATATTTAATATAACATGTTATAAATATTTAATATAAATCATACTAATTTAATATCAATATAATCATACTATTTAATATAAATCATACTAATTTAATATCAAGATAATCATACTATTTAATACAAATCATACTAATTTAATCACTCAAAATAAATAAGGTGAACAGGGTGGTCAGGCGTTTCCATTGCACTCTAGTAATTCAGAGACTGGAATAAGCTTCAAAACGCACTTTTCAATGTGAAATTACAAATAAAACAATGAACTCAAAAATTGCACCGGAAGTTCAACGACGGTTATGAAAAAATACGAAAATGAGAATTCGTATACAAATAACATTCAAATTTTAACATATCTCGTCAGCGAATCTAAAGTTATCATGCTTTTTTTCCTTTTATATTGCTTAACAATAGTAAAAATAAATCAACATAATGCATATACAATTACGTTTGGCTACATCGAAGCACTAATTAAAATTTTTAGTTACCAACTAAAACCTTCATCAATTGGTTTTTTTATATATTAGAATATATAACCATATCATTTTTTAATAAATATAAGGTTAATGAAGTATTTTATTTTTTTATCGATGAAGAACATCCCATCTACAATATGTTTAAGACAAGGGAACTTCTGATTAAAGTAATTCAGAGAATTTGCTTTCGTAAAGAATTATTTTGAGAAACTAGCCTCCATTTGCAGTACGGAATTGAAAAATCTCCAAAACCTCTCACAGTTAGCCCCCAAACCTGGATAATAACTGTGTAGTATTAGTACTACTGATATGGATTTTAATAAGTGCCGTCAATATTTCTATCTCACTTGGAAATATCAGAACTGAGTGCTCTATAGTTAGAAACATCATAGTCTAAATGAACTTCTACTAATCAACAATATTTCAACTCGAAGTGAACGGGAGGCTATATTTTTCTGTTTTCGGAAAATATCATTTCTAAAGCACTTTTAATTCGTTGATAGAAAAAAATTTAATAAAAAAATAACGACAATCTGAGAAATTAATTTAAGAAAAACATGAGCTAAAAATGTATGGTTTGACATGTTCTGCTCAAGAAACTAGTCTGAATTCTCTTCAAGCTTCAAAATTGGTTACAAAATATGTCAGTAGATGGCACAGTTAAACGAGATCAACGTTAACACAATGTTTTCAAAATGATAACATTAGTTACTGCAACAACATGGTGCAGTCTGATGGCAAACTTAACAGAGCCCAGGAAAATATTTCAGGTGAAATTGTACGACATGCAGCGACATTCATTGTTTATATTACCAATGCTGAAACGTATTCAAGAAAATTTTGCGAGAAAAAAATTTCTCTTTTCCTTATCAAAATGCAGAAAACTGTTTAATGTTAGTTGAATTTTTTTATTTTTTTAAAATCATCAGTTAATTTCTGAGCATCTTGTGTAATACTCGAATTTTTTCTCAGTTAAAAAAGAAAACATGACTACAAATTGGGGAATCGTTAGTGCAAGTGAAATAACTCACGATTTCGTCACTGCAGTTCAGAGTATTCCAGAAGGAGGACATAACGTAAGTATTTTAAATTTAAAATTATAAAATCTTACTTGAAACTGATTAACTGAATCAGTTTTAAAAACTATAGTTTGTAATAATTTTCCGTTCAAAATTTATGATTCTCACTAGTATGAGTTATAAGTATAAGTTAATATAAGTGGCACGGCATATTTATTAAGAAGTATTTATTTCTATCAAGTGTTAAAAACAGTTTTTGCAGACTAGTTAACTAGGGTTAACATGTTATCTAAATTAAGACAGTTTAACCAGAATAGTTAACATGTTATCTCTGTTTCAAAAAATAGTTATAGGTTAGTTATTTAGACTTGAAGGGATAATTGCGAGCATTGATTTTTTAAAATTTTTTTTAATCATTGAATCATTTATATGCTTCATTTCCATTTTGTAGTTTGTAGCAGTTGCTGCAAGGAATTTATCTGCGGCTGAAGAATTCGCAACAAACCATCATATATCAAAAGCTTATGGGTCATATGAAGAACTAGCTAATGACTCTGAAATTGGTATGCTTACAGCTTGCTTTATTTTGCAAAACAAAATTGTATATATGTTCACTCACCAGTATATTTCTTTTATAGAGATCGTTTACATTGGTACAATTACTGCCCATCATTACAATGTTGGGAAGCTTATGCTTGAAAAGGGAAAACATGTTTTGATGGAGAAACCTATGACGATGAATGCTAAACAAACGAAGGCCCTCATTGGAATTGCTAAAAGGGAAAAGCGATTTCTAATGGAAGTAATGACATTTATTCTTAACTATATTTTATTTTATTTCGCGTATTTGATTGCATAAAAATATGAAACCCTAGGATATAGAAAAAGGTTTGGTTTTACATATTTCGATTTGCTTAGGTCAAAAATAGCAATAATATATTTTTGACTTATGTACTTTTAGATCAAACTTCACAAAACTTTTGCAAGCTAACAATTTTTTATTTATTTTGGGCTTTTCATAATTGCAATATTGTTGTACCTTTTTTTCAATATTTTTGAACACGTCTCTTTTCTTACACTTCGCCATGCCCTCTGATAACATGTCAAGTTATTCACCTTAGATAGTAAATGAGAGTCAGAAACAAAACCCTATGTTACAAATCATATTTTAGATTTTACTTTTAAATTTTTATTATGTCTTAATGATACTTTTTATAACAATAATAATTTTTAGTGTAGTTATTTTTTACGAAATATGATTAAGGTTTAAAACAAAGAAATCGGCATAATTATATAATTGTAACAAAATAGTGATATAAAAGACTATTTAAGACAGACGTATTTTGTAATTTTTGCATTATTTTGTTATTATTTTTATTTTCTCATTTTAAATTATTAGAGTGCTTTGAAAATGACCCACGCTAGTTTCTTCGTAAACGAATAACTTCCACTAAGTTTTTCTTTTAACTCCGAATTAAACCTTTAATCAGTACCGAATATTCTTTTATACAAAATGAAACCGAAGAATACAAAACAAAATCATTAGAAAAAAAGCTTTTTTTTATATTAAAAAAATTGTAAGTGGGAAAAAAAATCAGAAACAAACATAATAATATAAAAATATTCTATCTTCGGATTTTAAATATTTTTTATATCACCCAAAATGTTCGATGTCACACTTCTTGTCATGAACAGCGACAGATTCACTAATTCCTTTTTTTTTTCTCTCCAAGCGTCACATCATTCATGGACAGCTTCTTTAGTTCGAATGATTTACCAATATTTTTCCATTAATTGAATAATCAAGCAGCTAATATAAAACCACAATGAATAATGTAGTTAATAGAAAAGAAGTGTTGCCGTAATCGTTAAAACAAACTTCAAATGTAAAAGGGGCTTTAAGGAGAGGTTGTAAAAATTGTGCTGCTTAGAACCATTGTAGTTGCGAAAGAACCATTAATAAGTTTGTTTTTTATTCATTTATTTTTCAATTTCCATTTCAACAATTTCTTACTTCTAACTTTCCTGATATTTTTACAGTTAAAATTTATCATTTTCTAAGTACGATTTTCTCAAATTTTTGTATAATAAAATTAAAACAAAATTTCGATGAGGTTGATAATAATAATAATGTAAAAGTAGTGCTGAGATACTTTGCACAGTTCTAAATGCAACAAATTTATTTCGAAACTGCATTTTACAAACATGATAATAACCATCAGAAATGACGCTAATTGGTGAGGTGCAATCAGTTAATCATAATTATCATTGAATAATTATTCAAAAATTTGTTTATAGATAGATTAGTAGTTGTAATGACGTAGTTTTGTAGCATTAGATTTGTAAACATAGTGAGGAAACTTTGAAATCCCAATTTCCAAGTTGTGATTGAAGATACTTTGGGAAATATTGCAATAAGATTTTAAAATTATTTAGGACAGCGTTTTCGTTGATTAACAATACGATTTTCTTTTAAGCAGTAAGAAGATTCTTTGTATCTGGAGAAAATATCCAGAAACACGGTGTAGAGAACAAACAATTTAGATGCAGCATCCATTAAATCCACTTTACGGTGAAATCCATCTTTTTTCGTAAAATATTATTCTGTAATTTTTATAATAACATTTATTTAGTCAGTTTGAGTAATTTTATTTTTTGGTATTTACTGTAAAAATTATGGTGTATAAGATTTTTTGTTCTTTAAAACTCCGGTAAAAATCAATTTTACGGAAAAAGTTCCGAGATACTAAGTGCCGCTACTTTTTATCGTAATTTTATTTGGAGTTTTTTCAGTGTGACATCAAATATAAAGCAATGTGAGGAGACTTGTGAAATCCTTATTTTATTTAACGTTTGAAGATGTTTGGGGTGACATAATAATATACCACATTTTCAAATTGCTCAAAAGAGCGTATGTAGCTTGACATGCGCATGTACCTAAGAAATGTGGATTATTTTAAGCCATTTAATTTTTTTTAAAAAATGAGATTTTTTATAGCAAACTTTTGGGTAATTTAAACATTATTTTCAGGCTATATGGAGCAGATTCTTTCCTGCCAATAAATGCCTAATGGAGCTGATCAAGGATGAAGACATCGGTGATGTAGTTCATGTTAATGTCAACATGGGACTACCATTTTTTGAGAGGAATAGACTAATGAAGAAAGATATGGGAAGAGGAACCATTTTGGACATCGGCGTCTACGCATTAAATGCAGTCACTACTATTTATGATGGAGAAAAGCCATCAAAGATAGCAGCTGTTGGTCATTTGAATGAAGATGTTAAGTAATTTTTTTTTAAATATCTGATTTATTATTTTTGTAAGAAAAACCAAAAGCATTTAGTTTTAAAACCAGATTTTTCTACTTCATTAAATTAATGTGTCTTTAGTTTTTTTAACTTGTAATTTTTATTATAAAATATACGTAGCAATTTTTGAACAATATGAATAATAAAAACAGAAACTGCTTTTTCTCTTAATTTTTAAAGAATAATTAAAAAGTATATAAAGAAAATAATTCAAAAACAGTTTTTCAACAATATTGCTTGGTTAAAAACTTAATTCGTTTCAAAAATATATAGCAGTCGACATGTTTAAAGCAATCAAAAACAGACTCCCATTTTCAAGTCTAACAAACTAAACTCAGCGGCGTGACAGCCCTGAGAGCCAAGGCCTACTGTGCCCATCTAAGTTTACTTGCAGAGGCAGATGTTCTGGTCAGGTGGTAAGCCGAAAGCGGAACCCCCAGTGTTAAGTTCCCAAGCATACTTGGTACTCATTTATCGACCCACTGAAGGGATGAAAGGCTGAGTCAACCTTGCCCGGCCGAGGATCGAACCAGGGACCTGTGGCACGACAGCACGAAACGCTACCGCTCAGCCACCGGGCGTCACCCATTTTCAAGTGTTGCAGTGGTATTTCTAGCGCTATTTCTCACCTTTTTCTTCATTTTTCTTTGAGATCTTTACGTTTTATATTTAATTTTATTTTATAACCGTCGTTGAACAGCCGACCTAATTTTATGGGTTTACGACTGCTAATGTTCAACTCCGTAGCCTTGTCCTTTTGAACCCAATCCAGAAGACAAGGAAACTTCTGGATCGCGTATTGGGAGAAAATTGTCTTCGTGGAGGACTTTTTGATAGAGCTAATCCGCATTTGCGTTTCATAGAGACCACGAGAACCTCCAAAGGTTAGCCTGATGGCAAGGAGACTCTAACCCATGATCCGCCTACAACTGACGACAGTTCACGTCAGTATTGTGGTCGGTGCAAGCCGAATACGGAATTCGTTTAGACCAGCCATCACCGGGATCGAACCCCGGTTCACCTCATTGGAAGGCGAACGCTCTATCCCCTGAGCCATCTTGGCTCTACGTGTTATATTTATCTCTTTACCGCTGACATTATTATCACTTTTATTTCTTCTCGTCTTGTCTGGCAAGTATTGAAAACGGGCGCTTGTTTTTAAGCTCTGGAAACATGTCGAATGCTATTTCTTATTAAAATATTTTTGAAGCAAATGAATATTTTGATCAAGTAATACCATACCGCCTCAGTTTCTTGAAGTTATTTATTTAATTTGAGAAAAATATTTCTGAACAAAAAATTAATTAAGCACTATATTGATATTATTTAAAAGGAGTCTTAAATTAATTCCTTTGCTTCGGTATGACTTATATCCAATAACATATTTATTACTTACAGGTGTCGATATTGCTATGAACAGTAGCTTGTTGTATAGTAAAAATCGAACAGCTAATGTGACGACAAATGCAATTACTCAGTTTCCCTGTGATCTGGTTGTTATTGGAACTGAAGGAATAATAAGGGTAAAACATTATGAAATGAAAATAATATAGTTAGTTCTTTACGAAAATGGAATGATTTCGAAACACAATTACATGGAGAAAAAAATTCTGTTAAAATCCCCGTACTGTGGGATAAAAACATTTCTGATAAAAAAAAAAGATTCAGTTCTGGTAAATAAGACTAAAATATGCATATTTAAGCCATTAATTTGGTAATTTTACCGTTGATATGAAAATGATATACAGAAAATCTGGCTCTCAAAATTATAGTTCTTATTATCATATATTTAGTTACAAATACAAAACTGAAAAGTAAACTTAACCGAATTAATGGTTTTAATGCCACGGTCTAAGGTATCGTTATAAAATTACCAAATTTTAACACGTATTTAAAGTTATATTTTAGTGCTAATTTTACCAAAATCTTTACCAAAGCGAATCGGTAAAAATTACCATACTTTTTGGTGTTCTTATTGAGCCAGAAGCATACCATACCATATTTTGGAAGTTTTGACCATACCTTTATCTTATTGTATGTACAATACTTATGACTTTATAAAATCATTTAATTCTTTAACCGTTTCTTATGTTGAATGATATTAAAAATATTACCTTTTACTTTTAATTTAAACTTTTTCGACAATGGATGAAGTATATTTACTCTTTGTGGCCGTATGACAGCTCTAAGCCACCAATTTTTATTAAATGTCAGCAAAATACGAAAGCAAAGAGTTAAAACAAAATGAAAAATATAAATAGTTTAAACGTTTATAAAATGTAGTGTAAATATAAACTGCAGTAATATTAATGCTAAATGAAAATAACCTTAATATATTCTTTTAAAAATTAAAATTTAATATCAAAAGTCATTGATTGTAAATTATTGTATATTTTTGACAAGTCCAGAATTATTCAATAAACAATTTTGATGTTTTATGTTAGTTATCGCAATCTATGGTAGTCTTTAGAATTTCAAAATGATAAAATATTCAATGATAAGACAATTGATTGTCAAAAAGGTTTTATCTTCGTGTGGATGAAATGGTCTTCTTTAAAAAAAATTATTTTATTAACCGTTTTATGCTGAATGATATTGAAAATATTGCCCTTTACTTAAATGCAATAAAAAAGTACAATTAACAATTATGATGTTATTTCGTAATCTATGGTAGTCTTTAGAATTTCAAAACGATAAAAGTATTCAATGATTAGACGATTGATTGTCAAAAAGATTTTATCTTCGTGTGATTGAGACGGCCTTTTTTTAAATAATTATCACTCTCTGAATGTCGTTCGTTATTTCTTTTATCTATGTGAATCGATTGAGCTTTAATTATCTCTAACATTTGTACCCAATGAAGATTGAAAATCAAGTAAAATTAAAGGCTTTATAGTTATTTCAAACAGATTTTTATAACAAACTTGTACCAATTTTTAACACTTTTTCACTTAAGGAAAGAATTAATGGATATTGTATACGTGGACAAGTAAAACGAATACCAACAAAAGCTACTTCAATTGGAAATTTTGATCAATTAACCTGTAACGGTTCGGAAATAGGTATATTTATAATAATTTTATGAATTATGAGTTTTATCAATAATAATAATAATTAAATCAATTGTAAATATGAGAACAATACCGCCTTATACGCAAGGCATCCAACACAATAAATAGAGGTGCCATTGTGCTTTTATGGCGGCCTTGGCTCACTAAGTGTTAATAAACGGATGTCAACGTAACCTTCTTGTTTCTTGACTAATTTTTCTTTTAATATTTTTATTTTTAATTATGAATCTCGCATAAAAGTACTTTATTATGTAAATTATTCAAAGCCAAATGAAGGAAAGATATTCTAAACCTTAATTTAAAATATAGGGCTTAAATAGAATCATTGTAAATTTAAATGTAATATCTTTAGCTCTTTTCGTAAATTGAGTTGGTTGATTAGATTTAAAAACAAAAATCACTATCTTACATCCTATTTATATTTTGACCAAAAAAGAGGTATCTTTATGCAGAGAAAGTCGTAACTTGAAGCATTAATTAATTAAAATGTTTGAGGTAATTTCTCAGAAACTTTAAGATTGCCATTTAGTTTGCGAAAATCAATTGTTGGAACAAAAGTTACTCAGGGAAATGCCTTTATTTATTTATTCATTCGATTTTGAGCGTTGTTCCAGAAACTTGGTGGAAACTTCTTGGAAAGTGAATGAATCTTTACACGTGTCCCCCCTTTCTTATTTATGTTCGTCGTTTGTCTCCTAATATTTTATGAAGGATTTTGGCCAAGTCTATATTTCTAAAATTAATAGAAGATAATTTAAGAATCATTTTGGCTGACCTTGTATTTTAATATTAATAGTATAACTAATGATGATGTCTATTAAAATTTCGCGCTTCACGCATAAGTTTAGCGCTAGTAACACCACTACGAACATGCAAAACAGGTTGCTTTAAATACGTGGTTACACCGTTTATTAATGAAATCTTGTTTTTCACATTTGAAATGGTTTTTCTCTTAATTGCATTAACCTGTGATCTTGAAACTTTAATTAATTAAATATGTTACTCCTATGCAGACAAACGCATTGCCGAAATTTCACTACTCTGCAATAACTTTTATCCTTTGGCAAAATAGATTTTGGTTTGGATTTCATGGCGTCCGCACTTTTCAACTGCAATAATCAAGAGTAATAGTAAACAGTACGCATGAGTTGCTATGACGACCGCTGTTGTTTGACAATTTTTTTAGAATTTTTTTAAAAACTTTTAATGCATTAAGTTGGTGAGTTTCTTAAGCTAGTTACCATTTTTGAGATATGGGACCAGAGAGATCCCATAAATACTTCTTGAGTTGTGAATAAAAGAGAATTTCATCATTATATTTCTGTTCTTATTGTTTTAATTAAGAATCAGAATTTCTAACCTACAGTTCAAACGGAATCGTTTTCAATACTAATTCAGGTGAATATCACAAATAAAGAGGGTCCAAACTGATTGACGCGGTCCCAAAATTTAGAGTTGAAGCAAGAATAAAACGATGCCAATGCCTAAACTAACCGAGGCTGAAATAGCCTAAGTCAAAGAACGTAGACAGGAATACCTTAAGCGTTACACACAAACGGCAAAACGACAGGATTCCGTTCGCAAACGCAGGCATGAAGCCCGTCCCTCACAAAAGTACCAAAATGGTTGAGAGAATCGAACCCCCTACCGAAGAGCGAAGGGTGACTCTCCGAACCCCTTTCATGCAAATACGAGAACTGGGTGTTGATCACCAGTTAGGGATAAAAAGATTCATTGTCAACGTACCCAAATGACTTGCACAAGACCGTAGACTGTCTTCCACGCAATATAAATGATTCATTCACTATTTCTGTAAAATTGGAAAAAAAAACCTAGATTTCAAACCATATTTCATGTATGAACTTGTGAATCCGAAACGGGTTATGATGCAGCTATCACCATCAAACACCATTGTATCCATCCGAAAATGTTAATATTGATCTGGATTGGCTGTTCAATGTCTATTCAGTCATCATAAGAATTTACACAGAATGTGTCTGAATTGCATTTAAATATGTCTGAGAAATTGTGTACCGAGTAGTTCAGGATTAACAGTTAAAGATGTCCAAGATGAAANTCAATGAACAAAAAAAAAAAGAAAAAAAAAAAAGAAGAAGAAAAATAGACAACAGCCATTTTGCCGATGGGTAACCTGTGATCGCCGCAAGGCTATCACAATTTCCCTCATTTTGTAGTGAATCGTATTTTAAATTTTTCTTGTTGTGATTTTTTTTTCTTCCTTGTTTTTATAGAATTATCAATTTTTTTTTAATCTTTAGGTTCCGAATCCTTTCTGGTGTCCAACTGTTGTCCAGACAGAAACCGAGACTTATGAATTCCCGCTTCCCAACACCATTCGACCATGTATATACATTAACAGTTCAGGTCTCAGATTTGAAGCAACACACGTTAGAGAATGCATTCAAAAAGGTTATGTTCGTTGTTTTGCTTAAATTTTATTCATTTGTTGGTTCTATATTTTTCAGTGTTGTTAAAATTAACCCGTTTTTTTCTTAAGGAAACTAATGGAAGTCTCTTCCCTTGTTTGTCCGTATTCAGAATTTTCGTATTTCAGAAAATTGTAAAAATTCGCAAAGTTATTCCCTCTTTATTTATACGTATTATATGGTGTGAGCTTTAATTTATTTCCTACATCATTTATTATTATTAGTTCCATTTATTTCATTTCAATGTTAACCTCCCTAGCTTTACAATTCTTATCCTAATCTAGAAGGCAAGGGAGCTCTTGGATCAAGGATTGCCTCGAACGAGGTTGTTTTCATGGAGCTAAAATGCATTTGTGCTACATGGGGACGAAAGCCATGAAAATGATTTATTAGTTTTAATAAATTATTTATTAGTTTTAATTAGATTTATTAGATTTATTTGTTAAATTAAGCAAGCTGGAAACAGGCTAGAAAAACTTTAAAAAAAAACGCTTTCGATAAATATTTTGTGCCATATTTAATACTCAATAATTAATATAAAATAGGTTCAGATTGATTTTTGCATTTTAAAAAATTACAAAAAAATTCACTAATTTCTCTTCTTTTTTGTTAACATATTATATGATTTGAGTATAGCTGGTTTTTGACTAAAAAAGCTATTTTTTTTAAAAACTTTTATAAATATTTCTTGATATACAAGTGAATGGGGCACTGGGGCATGTAGTAGAGCTCCCTGATATTTCAAAAAGAAAATCGCAAAATGTCCTCTTCTAGAGGCTTTGGTAGCTTCAACCATGTTCTCCTTCTCTCATCCTTAATCCGCAGAGAGTCTTTTTCATGTCCCCCAACTATCTAGTCGATCTTTTTCAAGCTCAGGATCCTTCAGGGTTTTGAAAATTGGATTATGTAATTCATCATTTATTATGATTATTTAACCTTTTATAAGATAATAAGAAGCATACTTCCCTCCAAAATCATGAATTTTTAAAAGATCAACAGGAAGCTATTATCTCCCCTATGATTTGTAGAGTAATTTGTTAACAATCTCAGGAAGTAAAATAAAAAGAACAACAAAGAGCTTTGTCTACATAAATAAGAGTATCAGTTAAGGTTACTAAGCAGTCAAGGTTACCTTGGGATCAAGATTAGAGGTCAACAATGAGGAGCCATTTTCTTTTGTGTGTTATGCGTTCTTTCATTCAATCATTTCCCATCGAGTTTACTTGTAATTATAAACATAAAATTTTGATATCAAGTTATTTATAAGCACAAATGTTCATGTTAATATCCAATTCTGGAATTTAAATTTGGGAAAATTCCCATCCACATTCTGACCAAAATTAATTTTAAGCATTACGATAAACGGGGAACTGATGATCGATCCCCCGTGGCGGATTGAACCATACCGTGCTTCAGACCGATGGGTAACAGCTTAACTGGGAAGTAAAAGTGGCCTGAACGCAGTGCTGACCACATTACCACAATCAAATCATTTGTCACGAAATTGTAGAGCCTTAGCCACCATGACTTCTCTAATTCACGACGGGCTGTTGCGGGAATTCTAATAAGCTAAAGGAGTTCTTTTTTATAAATCGAATTCCATTCTCAAAGTTACTTAACAAAATGACCCTATAAGTGGTTAATGAATTAAAGTTTCGTGTTTCATTCATTTGAAACTTAAAACATTTGTTCATCTAAAATGTTCAAAGTTTCCAGTATTTCAGTTGACTATGTTGTAAATTGCACATATTTTATATCAAAGTTACTTAACAAAATGACCCTATAAGTGGTTAATGAATTTAAGTTTCGTGTTACATTCATTTGAAACTTAAAACATTTGTTCATCTAAAATGTTCAAAGTTTCCAGTATTTCAGTTGACTATGTTGTAAATTGCACATATTTTATATCAAAGTTACTTAACAAAATGACCCTATAAGTGGCTAATGAATTAAAGTTTCGTGTTACATTCATTTGAAGCGTTAAACATGTTTATTTGTTCATCCGAAACGGTTAAAATTTTTAGCATTTCAGTTGACAATGTCGTAAATTGCACATATTTTATTTGTACGCTTTATAATACAAATCATTTAAATTTTTCGACAATAATTTTTTCTTTTCTTTTAGGGATGCTGGAAAGTCCTGTTATGACGCACAAAGATTCGGAAATTTTGGCTGAAATAATGGATGAAATTCGGCACCAACTTGGATATTACTTTGAGGAAGATTAAAACTTTATCGCTGCTATTATTTCTTGTTCGTTGTTGTTGCTATTATTTTTGATTATATAACTGAGGAAGGGAACTCAGTGTGAAAATCCAATACAATTAAATTTTAAAAGTTATGTCATAATTTATGATATAACTTTATTATCATAAATTAGATATTTATCCATCATTTGACATTTATTTCATTTCAGTTACGCAATGGTCTTTAAAATTTATATTTTAATCTAATCCAAAATAATAACAATTATAGGCACCAGAATTGAGTAAAATATAATTAATTGCACCGATCAAGCACTCTGATGATTACTTTTAATTAAAATTACTAATATATTATTATGATTGCTAGCAGAAATCAGAAAACTATAATGAATGTTATCAGGATTAAAATGAAAAAGCTTGAGAATAATATTACAATGAGGCATGCTTTTCTTTTGAAAAAGACATTTTTTCACTAAACAGCACTTTACTTTTGTTCCTTGGCAGAAATTTTACAAGTTTTCAGAATTTTCATTAAATAACAGTGCAATACACAGAAATATATTATTCTTAATGTAAAAATGACAGTGTTTTTAACTTCAAGCGCTCTCTTGAACAATTTGAAAATGTGGATTATCATTGTATTGCCCGAACACCTTTAGTTTTAACCGTTAAATATGATTGCACATAATCATGATCATAAGCAATCTGTTTCTTGTAATGTATTACATTTTGTATAATATGTAAACATGGTTGCTTGTAATCTCAACTATATGTAATTATGCTTTAATTATATGTAATCATACCTACTTGTAAACATACATCATTATCACTTGTAATCATAGTTCAATAAAAGTTTTAATCATGATTAAAATTGTAATCGTTACTTAGATTTGCAATGATTGTAAATTATCAAATAATTGTAATTAATTAAGTTTTGCCCTGCTCTACTTGTTGTCTAATTCGCATGGTTTATAATTCTGAAAAAATGTACATACAACCATCTTTGCTTAATCTGAAAGTAGTTTATTTTTGTTACACATGGGGGTCGTAAACAATCATCTCTTTTCCTCGTTATGTGGTTCAGGTTCAGTATTGAAAAAAAGAAATTTCATTGATGAAAAAAATTAAAACGTAAAAAATTCATTGATGAAAAAAAATTACGATTAAAACAGATCAAAACGTGCTCTGTCATGGAAACAGCATTTTTACTAATTATTTTAAAAAAATATAAGAAGACGAAACCACACGGAAGAATTTTATATCCTTAAAGCTCTCTAAACCGATAGTTTAAGCACAGAAGTAGAACGTGCCAGAAACAAATATGCAGGCTTACTTATGTTATCGAAAATTGAAAAAATGGTGCATTTAACATCTGCGGTAATGTACTATGCCATGAACTAGTTAAGGATATAATAGGTAAGGACATAATAGGTAAGGACAATCCACTCTAACTTCATCAAGACGCGTTTCTCCAGGACTAATCACTACAGCGCCCTCTAGCACCGCTTATCGGAAACGGTTAGTTGATTCAGTAAAATAATTGACACTTTAAGTGTAGTGTTCCTGTCATATTTTTGATTTATACTTTCATTATTATTTTATTTACTTATTTTAAATATTTTTTATTACCATTATGTTTGTCACAGGAATGAATAATAATTCTTTTCGATTTATTGTTTAAAAGTTCAGTTTTTATGCTTTATTTCAATAAAAATTATTGAATTAAGATTGGATTGTGAGAATTATGTTAAATTTTTAAAAAATATTTTCATATTGTGCAGTTAAGTAGAAACGCAACATTTTCTAATTAACTCCAAATATTTTATAACGTTTTATATTTTAGTTCGATAATACGTAAAAAGTACTTCTTTCATATTTTTATTTACTCCTCTCTATTTTTTATTCTTTTATAAAATAAATTCTACTATGAACAGATAAACGAAAAAAACAACAACATTAATAACGTTTTTTTCGTATTTATTCCTTCCTTAGTTTAAAAGAATTAATAGTGCATTTCACCCATGCTAATACTTATTAAATTCAACATTGAAATCGATATTAGAATAAGAAAAATGAGGAGAAATTAAAATATTTCAAATAAATCGTAAATTACTTTGCAGAATGTATTTTTGTCTTCATTAACAAACGACATCTTTAACGAATTGACAACTAAGCAATTCATGGAACTAAAATAAAACAAATGACCAAGCGATTAAAAAAAACTTTATAAATTCAAATAAATATAAAAGAAAGCGATAATCTCATTTATCAATCTAGCTGATAGTTAAGCTTTTTGCGGTAGCGTGGCACTAAAACCGTTTAGACCAGACTGTTTCCATTTTGGTACGCATCGAAAAAAAACGCGTCGTCATTTTATATACTCTAGCATTAGAGTGGAAACTCTTTATATATTTCTTTGTATAATTAAACATCGATATGCTTCCTCTTATTTTGCAAAGGGCATTTAAATTTCAAGGCTTTTAAATTTATCAATTTCAAATGCTAAAACATTTTAACACCAACTATTAATAATAGTAATTAATTGCACACATCTTTTCGCATGTTTTAAAGGAAAATATATTTTATACAAACATTAGTACTTGAGGCAGGGATTATAGCCTAGTTGGTAGGGCACTGGGTCCATGTCCAACAGTTCGTGGGTTCGATCCCCGCCGGCCGAAGACTCTCCGTGTAGTAAATGGTGACTGATGCACGTTAAATTGGTCGAGTCGCAAAGTCCTCCATGTTCCCATAACAAATCAATACCTCTGGCGTACTGATCCTTGGGGGTGAGTTTCCTTGTCTTCTGGATTGGTTCAAAATTACAAGGCTACGGAGTTGAACATTAGTAGTCGTAAACCCAAAAATTGGGTCAGCTGTTCAACGACGGATATAAAATAAAATAAAATATCAATACTTATCGGTCATTGGCACTATGAAGACAAGTTCGCTAACCAGGGCTTAAATCATGTCCCTGGTTACCAATAATGCACATCGGTGCCTCGAATATGACAATATCGTGAATATTATACAACGCGATAATTATTGATTTCATTTTATTGGGATAACAACAATATTGATACCAATGTAGAAATTTGATTAATGAGGAAAATATTGCGATATATTTTTGACGATAAATCGCGATATTAAAATTTGTACACATTAGTTATGTGTGTTAAAGTTGTGTTGGTGAAAACTTGAAAAACACTTGCCAACACATAACCTTTATAACCATTATGAAGATGAGAGTTTGGGTGACAACAGTGGATAAATGCCCCAAACGTTCATGGATTATATATTTAGATATTCGCATTTAAAACTTAGATTAATTAAGTTTCAATATTAAGGGAAGTTTTTAATAGCAAGTATCTTCTGTCTAGGCTTAAAAAAGTTAAATAATACTGGTTGGCATGCTTAAGTTCAATTTAATTCCCAATTAAATATGTCAAAAAAATTTAGAGGCAGATTTTAACTTTTTAACATAAATGATCATTTATTTGGTTATTTGTTCTTTAGTTCTTGAACATGGTCATTAAATCTAAATTATTTTTTTTAAAGTTTACTTTTTTGCTTTAAAATACATTGTTTACGATTTTCAATCGGTGTATTCTTTTGACTTAAAGGCTTATAAAAGTTAAAGTTTGTTTAATTTTGGCGAAAAAACATTTAGGAATGAAATTTATTCATTCAATAATCAATAATAGTAAATAAGTGATTTAGAACTTTTCACGGTTTGATTTATTCTTCTTCTAATGCATCTTTGAGATAATTAGCATATTTTTTTAATGTTGTCATATGTTATACTAAGCACTTTAACTTCAAGCTCACGACGATACCATATGAACATGTAAGAGACAAAAATTAAATCCAATCTCTCTTGAGCAATATGAGCTTATTACACTTACAAATTGTCTCAATTTTGGACAGTGCGATTTTAAGTCTCTAAATACTGAAAATTCTATTTGTTTTTATTAGTTATAAATAAATTGATATTTTATGATCTTTTATCGAATATAAAATTTAAAACATTTTGGTGAAAGAATTATGCATTACGAAGGGTTACATATGAATGATTCAATAAGCAATGATTTCCTGGATGAGGGCAATCTCATTATTTCATAAACATTTGAGAGTTATCCTCTACTGATTGGTATAAGGCAAGATTTTCGAAAACGTAATTTGTTTCAGAACCTAATTAAAATTACAGGCATTTTAAAAAAGATAAATAAGAATATCTTTCAGGTGATAATAATTTAAACAGATTTTTACTTAAAAAAAAGTTTATTCGAATATTTAACATTAACTCTCTTCTTATATTAAAATAAAAATTACAATAACAAAAACTCAAATCCATATTCGTATCACAGTATTTCAAGTATCATACATCAAAATCTGAAGTACATTTTATTTCATAAAAAATAACTCAAACATCAAAAAATAACTATAACTAATACGTATGTGTTACCAGCAAAGGGGGATATCTGGCATTTCAGACTATTCTAAAAATCAACCAGTGGAAATGAAATGGTTAAGCACTTCATGCATTGCCAAATGACAGACAAGCAGAGTATAAATATGATTATTTCATTCTTTTAGATAGTATGATTATAGTTTATTAGTATTTAATGCAGGCAAAGCAATTTCTTGGTGCAACAAGTTCATATTTCACTTTACTTTCTTCGGTAAAATGAGTAAGCTCTTTTAGTAATCTCCTAGTATTATTAATTAAAACCGGATTAATCGGGATAATAAACCGGCAAGGGTGATTTTCTGATTTCACTTGCTCAGTATTGTTTAGCCCAGATGATTTTTATAATTAAAACGGCATTGCTTGGTATATTCTTAGCCCAGTTTTCAAAGCACACATGTTGCTTAAGGTAAAGGATAATTACCCGACATACAGTTGCCCGGTCTTCCCTACAATGTTTTATTTCTAATCGCATATTATAATAATCAAATAAGCCAGTTAAAGTAAAATTTGTGTTTCATAAAAAGTTAATTCAATGAATAGAAAAAAATGTTATTTTACTTTAGTTGTCAACTGAGAATTCTTAATCGTCATTTTTTTTAAAGGAAAAGACAGAGCGATGCATCCTTGTTCATGTGCTTACATCTACAAAACCACACTATCATACCTAGCTTAAAGAGCATTATTTTTCATTTTTTTTACATTGCCCAGGTAAAGTATAAAATAATTCTCAGATTACATTTTTAGCCTAAAAACGTTAACGTCAAGGCACTGTCTACAATGCCTGAGTTTCCCTCCCACATTGCCGGTAACATATAATAATAACATGAATTGTAGAAATACCGGTAAAAAAATAAAAAGTTTCCTTAGAGGAGAAAGATATCTTAGGTTTCATGAATAAAATAATTTATAAATTATTTTGAATCCATTTCTTTAATTAGAGATTTACTTGTTCTACAAAATGTATATAAAATAAAGGTTTTTAGTGAATATTTTCATATTTAAAAGTTACACCACGTTTCTCTAATCTTTTCTGAAGAGATGTATTTTCAAAAGCCACACCAGGAGTAAGAACACCTCCCCTGAAAATAAAAAAATAAATAAATCAATGATAAAATTAAAAAAATTAATGAATTAAAATAAATAAATAAAAATAAATAAATCAATGAATAAAAATAAATAAATAAATAAACGAAAAGTAATCAAAGCAATGTTTATATTTCAATAAAATTATGGACAAAAATAATTCTAAACTGAGCTCCTTTTTTAAATAACTGCTAATATTACTTCATGTAAGCAGCATTAATATTGGAAACATATTCTCTATAGGTTTCTAATATTATGGCTAATGCATGATTACTTATATGTAATAATATTTTAGACGAATTTCGGCATGACGTCAAAATTATGAATTATTTCATTTGAAATGCCAATAAAATTTTACAATTTATTTTTAATTTATTATTTTGAAATTCCTTACGTATAAGAACACTGCAAGAAATTCCGGATCAAAGGACTGTAAAAAATACGGGCACTAAGGGTATCTGTACTTTTTACCATAAAATCCATTTTCACTGGAACATGTTAAGGAATAAAAAAGCCTGTTATACCGTAATTTCTACAGTGACGATAACAGCAAAACTACTGAATAACTTTAATTAAAAAATATTATCGAAAAAATTATGTTAATATTTTACTGTAAAATGCATTTTACGAACATGTCGGGTTTTTTTAAATCGTAATTTGATCCGGAAATTTTACGATTGATGCAATCTTTCTTTTTAACTCACATAAATATGTTAAGCTTTGTAGACATTATAAACATCATTACTCACTGCAAAGGTATTTTGTCTTGCTCTTGAAGAACTGTCAGACCAGCCTGCACCATACACATTGCAGTTAAAGGATACGCTGGTTCTAAACAGAAAAATACTATAAATTACTATATTTTTTAAACAACAAGTGAAGAAAAGCAGAAGTTTAAATATTTTATGGAAGGAAACACACGAAACCTATAGTGGCAGATTAGAGTTAGTGGCAATCTCTTACATTTTTTAAAATTTTTCACTTCTTTCAGAAACTTTCAATAAAATGAAAAATGTAAAAAATCTTTCTTGAAATATATATTTTAAGGAACTTCATTTTTTCTATTATTATTTAATTATTCGAGTAACTTCAGATCAGGTTAACAATTTTGTGCATTTACAGAAAGGATTACTTCAATATTTATTGTGCTTTCATACTTTTTGCCCTCAAGTCAAAACTTTTACACACTGATGTTTGCAAATATCGCAAATGGCCCATTCGATTGAAAAATAAGCAAATTAATTCAAAAATACTTTTTTTCTTCTAATTGGTGAGAAAGTAAATTTGAAATTTAAATATTAAAATAAAAATACTAGAGGGCTCCTTCCCCTGCTCGCTACAGCTCGCCAACCCCCGATAATTTCTAGGCAATTACATTTTTGCTCACTTCGCGAACAAATTTAAAGTCGTTTCCGTGGAGATTAACTGGCAAATTTTTCTGCACCAACATCATATAGAGGGAATATGATAGGATTGTAAAATGTCAGAGGTCCTAATTATCAGCATTATAAACTTATATAAAGCAATTTTAATACAAACAATATTATAAACTTATATAAAGCGAGGAAGCAATATTATTTAACACATTACTATAGGGCATTAGCCGGAAATTAATCTCCGTATCCGAAACTCGCTTGGCAGAGCCTAACTCGGGTAGACTATATTTGAGGGTGCCCCTTGATTCTCGCCAAGTTGTGATCGCGATTGATCACCAAGCTGAGCAATGTTGAAGCCCAATCGTGATTCTGATGGATTTAGATTTTAGCGTTATTTTTAAATGTTCAATGGTTTATGTAATTTCAGAGATCCGTTAGTTCTGCGTTAGATACCGGCTGGCAAGGTTGCTTTTGCTTCTGATCAATAAGATCGAAGGTATGTGGGCAGTCATAAAAAGGGACTTTAGAAAAAAATGTCTTTGCCAGTTCGGTACCACGGGCGCCTTTTTCGATTCGTATTTTACCGAATTTATGTGGCGATAGAGGTACATAGATTCTATTCATGATAAATTTGTACAGTATCTAACTGCTATTAGAGATTTCGGTGAACCTAAATCTGAGGATATTCAAGCTTAACGAAGAAGTGAGTTTTTTTTCCTTTTCTTTCTGTGCGCACTCCATTAATTTTTGTTTCAATTCAAAATGCATTTTATTGGGTTTCTTAATTTTGTTCATATCGGGTTCATTGCAATTTTATAAAGTTTTGACCGATGTTTCGTTGAAATTTTTCAATGTTTTATTGAAATATCAATATATTTTGGCAACCATTCCTGTTACCACGGTGTTCCGCGCGAACAGGAATGGCGCCAAACATGAGTCACCAATTTCGCTAAAGGGCACCCTCAAGTATATTTTTACCCCTAACTCAAATCATTGTTGATCTTATAGGATGCCGGACGCTCCCTATATGGTTCTTAATCCCCCCAGCCAGAAAATTTAAATTTCAAACTGAAAATAATTAAAACCTAATGAAAAAAACTTTAAAATATGACAAACAAATTAAAACATGTCATATTAATAAGTTGGTGCTGAGTAATATTTCAAAAGCAACCATTGCAAGTAATTGCCCAATTAACTTCAATACTGTCAATAGACAAAATATTTTAGTTTCAATCAGACAAAAAGCAAATTACATAATAATAACACATGTAACTGACATTCGACAAATTAAATTAAGCAATTTAATTTTTTTCTCATATTGAATACTAATAAAAAAATAAATGTAAAATGAAATAATTATGCTATCAATGATCAATAAACATTTTTGTCTGAATTGTTATAAACAAATAAGGTGAAAACAATAAAAGTAAAAATTATTTACAATAGATCTCTGAGTATTCACAAAACCTAGCTATGCGCATTTTTCATTGATTTTTCTTTTCACATCATTTTGTGTAACTTGCTGGCAGAGTTTAGTGCGTTGTGGAAAATGCCCAGCAAGCATAATGAAAAAGTCATCTTTTAACTAATCATAAATTTTATTAAGCAAGTAAAATCATAACTTAACTTAAACATCATAAAGGAAAAACAATCCTCTCTATAACATGAATTCAATACATACAGTCTTGAAAATCAAAAGAAACAAAACTCCAAATCCAATCTTGATTTGTTATATATATATACATAATAACAGTTGCATAATGAGGGTACTTACACACTCAAAATTAATACTATGCAAATTCTGTCTTTAAACTATTTTTAAATGTTCGAACTCCCTCCTTCAGAGGTTTTTCGAACTCGTGATCTCTGACTCTTACTCGAACCTTGTTCATTGAAATCCATAGTCTAACATATATAATAACTGTGCTGTATTAATACGGTCAGTTTTTGTAGATATCGAGTATACAAATATAATATTTTGTATCTGTCTTAGTGTATTTTCAACCAGTATTGTGGCATTAGAAAATGGTGGAGACCTACACTCAGATGGCTTGATAACTTGATTGGCTTGAAGATGATTTAAAAACTTTAAAAATAATTAATTGGAAAAAAGAAACAAGCATTTAGCAAACTTTGTTGGGATTGCCTTAGCCTGCTCGGGGCTGTAGTACCAAGAAAAAAAAAGTAGTGTATTTGGTGCGTTATGAAATTACACCAATTACCATAATGCTTGTAGTTCCTATTACGAAATCTTATCAAGCATCATTGGCAACAATAGTAGTATGGCAATTTTTCATCTTTCCCCTAAAAGAACTAGTATCCTTTTTCCTTTAATTTTGCTTTTAAATCATAATTATTGCCTTGTTTCAATTACCAGGCGCGAGCGTTACGGGAAAGGATTTTTCATAATCTAGGAACGTGTCCGCGTCTGGAGGTTGTACCTTTTACCAAAATTACTTAAGCATCGTTGGCATCAAAAATGATATAATAATTTTTAATCTTTCCCCAAGAATTAGTACCNAACATCAGTGTAGGGTATACCGGGCAGTGGCCCTTGACCTCAAAAAAACATCAGTGTAGGGTATACCGGGCAGTGGCCCTTGACCTCAAAAAAAACATCAGTGTAGGGTATACCGGGCAATGGCCGTTGACCTTAAAAAACATCAGTGTAGGGTATACCGGGCAGTGGCAATTTTATGCTATGATTAATCTTTCTAGATTTTACTTAGATTTTCTTACCTCAACTTCATAAAATACATGAGAAGATATAAAAAAGTATTCCTGACACTATGTAAAATTAGTTATGATTTAAAAAAATATTATCAAAGTGTAAAAAATATTATCTTTAAAAGCATCAGATTAATTTAAAACTTATTAGAAATGTATATTTAAATCCGAAATTGGTAAATGGCGCCATCGTTTTAATTTTAAAAATCTACTTGCAGAAAGAATAGGAGCTTATGTGTCTTCAAAGAAGATACTGTAATCGGATTTACTGTATAGTTCGTGCGCCGAAGTGATGCGCAGTAAATTCTACTTTCCCCACCTTTGAAATAAATGGAATGATCCAGTCTCAATCAGATTCATTGTGAGATTCAGGGGCTACTTTTTGTGTACCAATGATTTGCACTTTTATGCATTATTTAAGAAATATCTCAAACAAATATGAACTGTTAATTCATATTTCTGGCTGAATGATTTTTTGAAAGTAAGTAAAAAATAATTAAAAGTAAGGAAAAACAATGATAAAATTAAAAATAATTAAAAGTAAGGAAAAACAATGATAAAAGTAAAAATTATTTGCAAAACCTCCTTATCAATTTCTTTTCCATATTATTCGTTTTCATTTAAACGTATAATGACTCTTCAACGTTTCTTCACAGCGCATGTCGCTGCCGCGTATTGATAGCACTACGATTATTTTCCCGGTAATTTTGTGCTGCTAAATTATGTTCAGCCCTATGTCGCTGTTGATATCGCCTGAGATATTCACGGTGATACATTTTTTTTATAAAAGATATAAGTATTTTAAAATAAACTCTGTTCAATATATTTCACTCATTTAATACAAAATAGAAATCGCAACAGGATTTAGCTGGTAAGTTTAGTTGTAACATTACTGCAGACAGCATTATTAAAAAAAATTTTTTTTCACACAAAAGCGTTCTAAATTTTGATTGGCTGTTTTGTCTGTTACTAACCAGAAGTCTTCTGTGAATGGCTATGTGTTATCATTCCACTCTCTTTTTATATATAAAGAAATAAATGAAAGTGACCTGGTCCTGTTATAGTGAGTTTCATCCTGGTGTCAGGTTTTGTATTGTGCTGATCAGTAGGATTTGACAGTTTTTCTTTCCATCCTTGTCCGTAAAAAGTAAATTTAGATCCACTCTCCATTACCTTCAAAAAATAAAAATTCGTAAATTGTGAAATTGAATAGGAATGTTATTACATAAATTATATCGCTGGTTCAAAGTTAAGACGACACTTCTGCACTCACTTCTCATTCAAATAACATGAGAAGTGAGTGCAGAAGTGTCGTTTTAACTTTGAACCAGCGATATGCTAAAAACTTCGGATTAGTCTAAATAATTCATCCAGTTTCAAACAACTGTTTATTTATAAAAGCACATAATGTACAAAAACAGTTGATATATAAAAAGATATGAACACTTACCAAGTTTCTTGTTTATACTACAGACTTTTCATGCATGCACTTTCAGTTATGTGACACATATTCCAGAGGTAAATTTTTATCTATGTTGCTGGTACTGAGGATACATAAACTTGTATAGGACAAAGTCTAATTATGTACCCCATGCCAACATGTAAAGGACAAAATTATATACAGCATGCCAGCTTGTAAAGGACAAAATTATATACACCATGCCAACTTGTAAAGAACAAAATTATATACACCATGCCAACTTGTAAAGAAGAAAGTTTATGTATTCTCAGTGTCAACAACACGCCTGGTATGCATCACTGCTGTGGCAAACAATTAGAATTAAGCGAGCGTTGGGTGTTTTGGGGTGGGGAGATTTTTCCCCCCATTTAAATATAGATAAGATAGATGATTAATATAGAATAACAGGTTTTAAATTTTTGCTTCTGAAATTTTATTAAGAAAATTCTTAATGTTTTATTATTGAACAATTGTTCTTTTAGGGACAGAAACATGCAATATTTAGTATAACGTAACAATATTTAAATAAAAATATTATTTTTGACTATAATATATGTAAGATATAATAACTTACAATATTGATTACGATATACTGATAATGAATGAATTTAATATGCGGGAAAATTTTTTTCTATGATTTTGAATACACAAGATCTTATACTCAATTTGAAATACAATTTGAACATTTTAAACGAATAATATTTTATTTTTGTTAATGTCAATAGACATATTATAGAAGCATTAGAGAACTATTTGTCTGGAATCTTAAATCTTAATTTCTGAAAAATTAATTTCAAAGATTTCATATGCTTACCTGCTTTCGAGTTGGACCCTCACTTGAAAATATGCCAGCAGAAAAAAATGACGGATACTGTAAGTAAATTATTTCTTAATTAATTTGATTATTAAAATAGATTAGCATTTGATTACATTAAAAAGTTTTGCAATTAAAATAACAATTGATAATTTCGACATTATCGGAAATAAATAAAAACATTCGCTTCATATGCTTGATATAATAATATTATATATATANATATATATATATATATATTTGATACGTTTGCTTTTTATGAAACAGTTAGTATAAGTCAAGAATTCAGAAAAAAATTTTTTATGTCTTTTATTTGGTCTAAATCATCTTCTAAAAATTTTTTTATCATCGCAATCATTATTGCCTTTTACCTGACTACAAGTTTGAAGGAAAGAATTTCGAGGAAGAAGAATAAATAGGTGACCTGGTCCTGTTATAGTGAGCTTCATCCTGGTGTCAGGTTTTGTATTGTGCTGATTAGTAGGATTTGACAGTTTTTCAAAGATAAATATTCAAATAAAATACAATACTCAAAAACTTAATCTCCTTAAACATGCACTTGAAGAGGATATTTAACATCCAAACTTTGCAAATCGCACCTCAGGTTTACTTGGCATGATGAGCAATGATAACAAACATGAGCAATCATTTTATCTCATATATTTCTAAAAAACTAAACAGTGATCATCTTCCATTAATCTTTTCTAAGAACATTAATCCAAACCAGAAACCAACTCTCGTTAAAAAGACTGATTGGATATTGTTTAAAAACATCCCCTCTCTCTCAAATTATGAATCACAAAATCTTGATACAAGGAAGATATTATCTCACAATTTGCCGAAGAACTCCAACATGCATATAATGAAGCTACTTAACACATACAGAGAAAAGATATCTACTGGAGGCTTCCTAAAGATACAAAAAATTTAAAGAAAATTAATAATAAAATGGGAAAATTATGGAGCAAAACTCTCAATCCTGCGTTGAAACCTAAAATTAACAGGCTAACTAGTGAAAATTGCAAAGATCGCCAAGCCCTTCTGTCGAAGTAGAAAGTCTCTGTATCGATGATGCATCATTTTGGAATATGAAAAAGTCGTTGAAGACTAAACATGTTACAACACGCCCTCAGAAGGTCAAAATGGTAAGGTAAACTTAAATAAAGATATAGTTAACATTTTTGTAGAGGCAATTGAGAATCAATTTTCTTTCAATGAATACCCAAGCTGCAAATATCGCGAGTAGTTTTGAATGAATACAATAAATTTATTCAGGATTAAACCAATCTGAATTTAATGAATTACAAAAATGAACAAGAAAGTCATTCAGTGACTAAAAAAATTAAAAAGAAACAAGATCTGACCATATCAACAACCACATAGTAAAAGCACTACCCTAAAATTTCATGGCATCTAAGTGAAATTAACAATGCATGCTTGAATATTAAATATTTTCCAGGTATATTGATAAACTCTATGATTATTCTCTGTGCAAAAACCTGGCCAAAACTCAGCAAAACCCGAAAATTATCGATCAATCAGTCTGTTGTCAACGCTTAATAAGACTTGAAAAAATCATATACGAAAGGGTGAAACCTTTCTTTTCTAATCTAACAAAGTTACAATCTGAACTTCGGCTTCATCTATAGGCTACCAGGCAATTATATGGAATATTGAACTCCATGAAACAAGAGAATTATAAGAAAAATGATTCCGCCATTATCACGTTAGAGTGGCTGAGGATTTCGACCGCGTCTGGAACGAAGGGCTTCTTGTTCGTGTTGTCCCTTAGCGTGGGATTTTAGGAAATAATACTGTTATATATAACAAGCACTGTTTACTAATAATTTACAACATTTAAAATTTAGAATACGGAAGATGCGTCTTAACGCAACACTAACAGGCGAGGAATCTAAACTGAAATTTTTAAGAGGGAAAGTCCCAATTCGATTACGTAGGCGTGATACGGATAGTTCGTAAAGATAGCCTCGAACGGCTAAATACACGACATCTCCTCCCCCTTTAAAAATGGAAATTTAAAATTAAAGTCTCTTAGGGGGCCGTCTAATCCTTTGTGATCACCTCGGCCTAAATAGAGTTTGTTGAAAAGTTGAAGATGGAGTACTTCTCTGCAAAACAGCTGAACTCGTGTTTTTAGTTGTAGATGGATGGCGAGTTTCCGGTGTTGATTGGGCAGATCCAGGTTTTTTTGTATATCTCCACCAGGATCAATGGATGCTGGAGAATTTTCAGCAGTGCCGATGTGTGGAGTATCACTGCTAAAACTAATTCGTGGAACGTGAGCAGTTTTGTCCAAGATCTGGTCTCCTGTTGGTCGCATTTGGTCTACGTGGCGTCTATACAATGTACCTTGCACATTAACTGTGTAATGAAGAGCTCCATCTTTGCTCATAACTGTTCCAAATTTCCACCTTGCGTTGGGTGAACGATAGTCTCGAATAGCCACCTTATCACCTTCGTGAAAAATACGATCTTGAAAATCATACGTGCTTTTTCTGATCTTCTCATTGACTCTTCCGACCAAGTCAGGGAGAACAAGATCTATTCTAGTCCTAATGTCTCTCTTAAGGAAAAGCATAGCCGGACTAATCATAGTTGTCATATTAGGAGCCTTGCGATATTGCATGAGGAAGGTGCTAACCTTTTGCTGGGTATTTCCTGCAAAGTTCTGCATGGCACGGAGAGATTGTTTTAATGTATGCACGTAGCGCTCTGCTTGTCCATTGCTGGATGGTTTGAAAGGGGTGCACGTCTTATGCTTAATGCCATTGCTTCGTATAAATGTTTGGAACTCTTGGGAAGTAAACTGAGTGCCGTTGTCGGAAACTAAAACTACAGGTAGTCCAAAACGTGAAAAGCAATCTCGGATGCATTTCAATTATCTTGAATGAGTTGGCTGTCTTCATGGGGTAAACTTCAAGCCATTTTGAATGGGCGTCAACAATGAGTAGAGACATCCATTCAAATATTGGTCCTGCGAAATCAATGTGCACTCTTTCCCGTGGTGCACTGGGATATTCCCAATGATGAGCTTTTGCTTTTTCTGGATCCGTTTTGAACCTAGCACAGTCCAAACAGTTTTTCGTAGAATTTTCTTTGTCTTGGTCGATGTTTTGCCGATACACGTAAGATCTATCAATTGCATTAATTTTTACAACACCAAGATGCCCATGATGCAACTCGTCTCATATTTTCGCTTTGTAGCAGTCTGGGATACATACTCGTTGCCCATACATAATGCACCCATCCTGTAAGGTATATTTTCCCTTCCCTTCTAATTGACCCCCATATTATAATATTTTTAAAAGTTTTTCCAAGTGTTGATCGAACTGAGAGGCTTTTGTTAAATCTTTGGCAGTAACGAGTACGGTTTCAATTTGGTAAATTTTGTATACTGCAATATCATCTCTTAATTCAGTTCTTCAGATTTCAATGGTAGACGTGATAAGCAGTCAGCATTGCCGTGGTTCTTTGTATTGCGATAAGCGATATCAAAATTATAAGCTTGCAGAACAAGATCATAATGCAGAAGTCTTGTTGCAGAATGGACTGGGAGACTCTCCTACAGGTGAAGCATCAGAAGATAGCAAGATAGGGAGGTTTGGATCATATTGAGTTAGTATTTTGTCAGAGCAAATTTCGTTTTTCCCATTTTCGAAAGCTTCCTGACAAGTGCGATCCCATTTCCAAGTAACACTTTTCTTGGTTAAGTTGTATAAAGGATAGGCCAAAGTTGCTAAGTCTTTAGAAAACACTGAGTAAAAATTCAAGAGATCCATAAATGACTGAACATCTTGAACATTTCGTGGCGCCTTAGCAACTACGCATCTTAGATGCGGCAATTTAGGTATAAATTGAATGTCCTCCGATAGATTGGTTGGCGCTGCTTTCGGCGGCAGGTGCCGAGATGTAGACAGTAATTAGAATTAGATTTGTGAGAGAGCAGAGTTATGTTAAGAATAGTAGATAGCAGAGTATTTTTCATTGATGATAATTTCCAGATACTTATGTGTTGCCATAATCTTTTTTATTGTTTAATAAATGTCTTCGCAAGTTCAAAGATGAATCTTTAAATTTGATTGCTGGGAATTTCCCACTACGTCTTGAACTCTAAAAGTAGCTTTAATACAGCACTGCAACTAGTACTCGCTAGCCCCCTTTGCTTCTCATTTATCATTGTTTCATCTTAAACGTCAATATTTTCCACAAAAATACAGAACTTTTCAATTTCGCAGTATACAATTATTGTAGCTTTATGTTACCTAATATGCTAATGGTAAAGAAACAGATAATTACTACGATTTGAAAATAAATATTTCTTTTCGAGAAAAAAAAATTAAGCTAAGAAATACAGATTGTGTAACTCAAAAAGAAGAAATAAATGAAAAATAATTTCGCTCGTTAACGAGACTTACAGCAATCTAATTTAGGAATGATTTTATCGTTCTTTATTAAGTTTTTTTTATTTTTAGGAATTTCAATACAAACGTTAAGATTTGTGCAAAAACTATTCCCTCTCTCTTAGCTACTTTTGATTGAAATCTACTTGAGCGCGCGCTTTCGAACTTATTGGAATTTCGGAGCAAAATTCGCGCGAAATCACAAATTAAAACGTCTCTCTCAACATAGCAAATTTTAATTCCGTAGTTGACAAATCGTTCGTAATTTTTTCATTTTAAGTTTAGCACTTCTTGATTTAATTGTGGAATGTAAAATTTTTAATCATTTCGTCATATTTCTTGTACATTTTTCTACAAACTCATCGCAATTTCAAACATTTAAATTTTAAAAATTTTTGAGCAGCAAAACAAGATGCAACGCAAAAAAATAAGAAAAAGCACTTACGATTACAAAAACTTAGGAACGAATTGAAATTTTGAAAAAGAAAAATAACTATAGGCTCATAAACAAATATACTCTTTTTAGCATGCCAAATTTATACTCTGTAATTGCATTCCTGTGACCTGCAGTGCTCCCCTTATGATATTTTTTACGTCAAATTTAACAGTCAAACTTATTACTAAATATGAGTTTTTTTTATTCTTTTAAGTATTATAGTTTTTGCGCAGAAACACAAAATGTAACGTTGAGTTGAACATGGAAGACATCGTCGGAGGCCTTACGTTTTTTTTTAAAGTTTTTAATAAAGTTTTTTTAAAAAAGAAATCTGGATGTTAAGCAAATTTAAAAAAAATCTGCCCAACTGTTCTGAAAACAACAGAACTCAGATCCTTATCCTACTTCTGAGGATTTTTTTTTATCTTAACACTCTGGTTGAAAGAAAAATATGCAGAAATAATGAAATAAAAATTGAGTGTTAAAATTTTTCATTTTATAAGTGAACTAAAAGGAGAAAAATATTTTTATTTTTGTTTCAATTTGTTACATTTGAAACAAAAAGCACAGGGTCACGCCTTTGAAAAGTGATGCGGTCTACGCTTTTCGTTTCAGGTACGACGAAAATAATTATTTCCTTTTCTTTAGTGTACTTGGAAAAAGATAATTTTTAATTTTATTATTATTTTCTTTTAATTTTTTAATAATGATATTTTAAGTTGTCAAATTTGTTTTTACCAGAATTTCCTCAATGCATGTCTTAAAGTTCATAATTTATAACAAATAATTTTACTAATTTTGCTAATTTTTTTGAAACCATAAAAATTTTGAACTATCCACATACCTTAGCAAGGAGACTTTGGCCGAATGAAAATCTTGTCATAATTACTAAAAATATGGCGTAGATTGCTACTATAAGTACCATGAAAAAATGTGGCATCGAAACGTAGCTCTGTGACATAATCTGAAATAGAAAAGAAAATTAAGATACCTAAGAACTAGCACTTAAACTGTTTATATCTATTAGTGAAGTAAAAATTGCTAAATAAAATCAAGTATATCGTTGAAAAATAAATGCTGTAACAAATGACAAACTCTTTAATACTCTCCTTTTGTAAGTGGTAATAATTTTGCATATCGTATATTGACGAAAGTAGGGAAAGGGAGAAACTTTGTTGCTGTCTAGACAAATGAGTCATTGTTTCAGATGTAATTTTTATGCTGAATTCACACAGTACGACTAAGGATAAATAGTTTAAAGATAGTACGACATACATTAGGATAAATAGTTTACAAATAATGCTGGTTTCATTTATAAGAAATGTAATACATGACTTGTACTTATCTAGGCCATTTACATTGCTATCTAGACAAATGAAGTATTGTTTCCTATATAATTATTTTTGTCGAATTAATTTAAATCAAACACGCGATAATAAGATTATTAGTTTAGAAATTGCAATGGTTTCTTACGTATGAAATGTATTTTTTTTATTTGCATTTATTTCTATCTTTGAGGTAATATCTATATAGTTATGCAATTTAAATTAATATGGGAGAGCTTAAAAACTGAAAAAAATTTAAAAAATAAGACATGTTATCAAGGCAGTGTGTACCCTGAAAAAGTATTGTTTTTGCTAACATGTTTATTTTTAAAATTTTTGAAATTGGTTTTGAAATTTCATTTGGTGTTTATTCATGTTCGGGTGGATCCTAGAATATCCCACCCCCTGGCAATTTTTTGAAATCTCGCCAAGCGACATTTTGTACTAAGGTTGTAAATTAAGTAATTGCACATGAATAACTTTCTCTTGCAAACTTTATCTTACTTAGGTTGCAATTTAAGTAATTGCACAGAAATACTTTTCTGTTTTAAGGGTATTAAAAATATTTTCGTAATGTTTGGATGAAGTTTATTTCGTTAAATATCCTTCACATAAATAGTTATGTCCAACCAATTGTGAGCAACATAATCAATTGTGAATGATTGAATTGAGTTGAACCATTTTTCGTTCTTTGGAGGAAGCTAATTTAATTAAAAATCTATCAGAAGTTGCACCAAAACAATTGAATACCTTTAAAGCTTCTCATATTTGCACAAAAAAATGTTACATTTGTTCGAGAGAATTTTGCTTAAAAAAATTATCCTTTAAGAAGTTGCACCGAACCAATTTGATTACTTTAATGCATCGCTTACTCATTCTAAGTGAAAGAATAATTTTTGTGTTATATGGAAGTGAAACTTATACTTACAGGTCTGTCATTCAAGTAGTTGTATCGAAATAATTGACTTCGTTGAAGGCATCTGGAATTTGCATAAAGAAGCCAAACACACCAACGTTTCTCTTCAGAACTATAAAAAATTGGGGGATATCTGCAAAAAAAGTATATGTTCTATTAACCAATGAAAAACAATGAAAGAATTAAATAATATAAAAATAGCTTTTTCATCTAAAACTAAGCTTAAATTTAAAAAGCCTGCTTCAGAAGAACTTGATCTAAATAAGAGTGCAAAATAGACAGACAAAAAGAATAAAAAACCACATTGGGAAATCAGGTTGCAAATACTATTTGAAGCCGTTGAAGACGCTCCAATTAGTAACAATTTACAATTGTATACAAGGTCAATAAACAAGACTTATTTAACTCCGTTTAAGTTTATTTTCACACATGTTACACGTTTATAACCATTGTACATGGGAAATATTCAAAGTTTTTGCTAGATGTCTCGAGTTACGCATTGCACCAATTCTGCCTAGATTGGTGCATCTTCGGTATACTAAAAAAACTGTGGCGTAATATCTCTCTGAATTCGGTGTTAAAGAAATCAAAGATTTGGGAGAAAGAACACTTTATTTTTAGTTAACACTAAATCGAGTATTTATATATACTTTAAAGGTTGCAGTCAAATAAAAGCGAAAATAATGCAGAAAGTTCACACCAAGCTCACATGCATTCACTAACTAACTAATTCACTAACTAACTCCCTGGCATTACAGTCCATGTTGGACCATGGCCTCACTAACAATTTTCCTCCAAGTCGCCTGTCTCTAGCTCTTTGTTTCCAGTTTCGGAATTTTAGAGTCTTAAGGTCTTTTTCCACTTCGTCAAACCATCTTTTGACCGGCCTTCCTCTTTTCCTTTGGCCCTGGCACTGCCCCTTGAATATCTTCTTAGTGCCTCTGTTTTCTTCCATTCTCTCAAGGTGTCCTAGCCATTGAATTCTCTTTGCTTTTACATAGTTGATTATATCTTTTTCCTTAAATAGTCTTGCAATTTCAAAATTGTATCGCCTGCACCACAGATCACCCTCTTTGACAAGTCCAAACCTAGTTCTAAGAATTTTTCTTTCCCAGGTAATCAGCATTTTTTCTTGTTTCTGGGTTGGAGTCCACGTCTCTGATCCATAGATAACGGTTTGTCTGATTATAGTTTTATAAACCTGAAGCTTTGTTTTTCTCGTTATTACTTTTGATGTCAGCAATCTCTCAAGTGCGAAATAACTGCGATTTCCAGCATTTAGCCTTTGCTTAATCTCTGGCATAATACCATTGTTTTCAGTGACAACTGAACCCAAGTACTTAAATTCCCTAACTCTCACAAATTTTGTAATTTCATTGATTTGTAGTTCTGTGTCTATATACTTTCCCCTACAATCCATTATCATGTATTTGGTCTTATCACTATTTATTTCTAAACCAAAAAGACTAGCTTCTTTAATTAAGACTTTAAAAAGGTCAACAAGTGCATTTTTACTTCTTGCTATCAATATTACATCATCGGCGAAAGCAAGGACTTGTTTCGTTCTATTAAAAATAGTACCTCCTCTATTTGATACCGTGTTACGCATCACTTTTTCAAGGCATACATTAAACAACAAGGTTGACAGAATGTCACCCTGTCTCAATCCAGCCACAATATCAAATTCCCTGAACATTTTATTTTGTACCTTTACTTTCGTTTTAGTAGATGAAGTTGTCATTCTAATCAACCTGATTATTTTATGAGGGATGATAAACTCGTGTAAGGTCCATAGCATCAATTCTCTATTTATTGAATCATATGCTTGCTTGAAATCGACATAGAGCTGATAGACATTAACATTCATTTCCTTGAATTTTTCCAAGATATTTCTAATGCTGAATATCTGGTCTATGGTTGATCTATTTAGCCTAAAGCCACATTGGTAGTCTCCAATTTCTCTCTCTATCAATGGCTTAAGTCTTGTAGCTATGACTTTCGTTAATACTTTGTAAGTCAGATTAAGCAGGGAGATTCCTCTATAGTTATTGCAGTCCAGTAGGTTTCCCTTTTTCAAAATTGGGCATATCACTGCGCTGTTTCATTCGTTTGGTATCTGTTCATTCTCCCAAACTTCATTTACAAGGTCATACACCATTTTGAATAACTTCTCAATACCATATTTTATTAGTTCTGGGAAAATTAAATCTTCTCCAGGTGCTTTTCATTACGTAACTTTTTAATTGCTTCTTTAACTTCCTCCATCTCTAACGGTTCACAATCATTCTCTGATGTAACTAGTTCACCTTCCGTTTGTTCAATTACTTCATTTCTGTTTAAAAGGCTTTCAAAATGTTCTGCCCACGTTTCCAAAATTTCGTCTTCTTTTCCAACCAAGATTCCATTTTTTCCACGACAAAGTGTGGTTCGTGGTTGGTACCCTCTTTTCATAGAAGTTAATTTTGCATACATTCCACAGATGTCCCCGATCGCAGATATGTCCACCACTTCCTGTATCTTTTCTTTTTCCAGCGTTCGTACGAATAATTATCTTAGCTAGTTTTCTCTTTTCCTTGTACACTTTTGCATGGATCATAGAGGAACGATATAATAGTCCGATCACTAACAGTTACGAGATCTTCATGTCTAATAGTTCTTCATTTCGAATCCTTCACTCATCTCATATGAAGTATCTGTCTCAGTCTTAATTATTCAACAAAGGAAAAATGAATTATTGGTATGTGATCTTGTTTCCCATTAGTTCACTTTTTTCGCATATTTGGCAGCTTTCACATCAAGTTGCCTCAGTATTTGTCAGAGGAAGAATCAATTCTTGACGCTTAGTAAATCTTTGAGTATGAGTATATGAGTATAAAAGTATGAGTTAAAAGGCATAAATTTGACCTGATAATTGAAAAATGTTCGCTTATGAACTGATCTTTTAAGCCGATCAGTTCAACTTCTTAGATATCAGGTTTCGTCGCAAACTTTACAATTTTGTCGATATCACTCGCTAAGAATCAGAAGCCCAGATTTTCATGGAACTCCTAGGTATTGAGATGATTTTTCTTAAGTGTTCAAAGCTTTATTTAGGGAATTTGAGTAAACTGCGTTTTATGTAAGCATAATCATTGTCTCACTTGACTATTCAGGCAGTTAGTTAACAATTTATACGACATAATAAGCGTAAGTTGGAAAAAAATAACAATCCATATAACACGCTTATAATTTTTTAATACTTCTGATTTTCAAATTAAAAATCTGCAGCTTATATTTAAAATTGTGAATGTTATTTTAGAAGCTTTCAAATCTTTCCGCTAAAAATTGCTTAGTTGCTTATTAAGTGTTTATTTTGACGAAAGTTTGGATTTTCCTGTTATGTCTTATTTTTATGCTTCTTCTGTTCTCAGAGATTCAGTATTTCCAGTTGATTCTGCTTATGTTTGAACTCACTGTTCAAGAAGCTACTCCTTTTCGAGCTCACATCGTTCAGCGAGTTTACGAACTGAGTTCACACTATTCTTGGAATTCCAAAA